CCATTCTCAACTTTGGTTCCTATATTAACAAGTTTTATCCCTAAATTCGCAATAATTAATTAGCCATTCGCAAGTCCTGGTGTGCAAGCCCAGACACGCATCAGAGTTGGAAATTTACAAGTCCCCATTCACAACTTTGGTTCCCATATTAACAAGTTTTATGCCTAAATTTACAACAATTTATTAGCCATTCGTAAGTCCTCGTGTGCGAGACCAGACAAGCATCAGAGTTAGAAATTCACAAGTCTCCATTCACAACTTTAGTTCCTATATTAACAAGTTTTATCACTAAATTTGTAATAATTTATTAGCCATTTGCAAGTCTTGATATGCAAGCCCAGACAAGCATCAGAGTTAGAAATTTATAAGTCCCCATTGTTTAGTTCCAATATTAACAAGTTTTGTCTCTAAATTCGCAACTATGCAACAAAGAATTGCAATTTATTAGCACCTTCTATAAATTGACTGAATCAGTAAAAAATGAAATACCACTCTAATCCAACAAATAATAACTTTCATTAATTTAAATTATAAGAAAACCTTAATAAGTGACATAAACAACTCTAAGGTTTCATCATCAGTTACATGATCCATAACTTGCATCAAAATGCCCTACAACCCTTTTGACAAAAATATATAAAGGGTTGAATCCTTTATACATAAGAAGTTTTAGCTATGTCATAGAAGTTCGTGGCCTCCCAGGAGGATGATTGGTCCTTAGAGGTGATAGGAATTAGTTGCTTTCCTTCAAAATTAAACTAAAGTTAACCCTAATGCAATATAGGGCCTACCCTGGGTCATCTCCCAAGGAATGATTTCAAGTCTAATTTAAAGTTATCTAGTTGAATAAATCACAGTTTGAAGTTGATTAATTAAGTGCTAACCTAATTATCTAATGAATTAAACTAGAAAACTAATCCTAATTGTGAATGAAGTAGCTTCCCTATTCAAGTAGGAATCCTAGGGTGTTGCTAATGGAAGATTCTTAGCCCTTTAATTAATTATGGTAGCTCACTTAACTCTCCTTCCTTGGCTAAAAATGTATTTACTTAATAAGACAACTATCTCAGGCATCCTAGCTTCACTAATTCAATTCCCTAAGTGCTATTACAAGCCCCTAAGTAACCTTACTAGCTTAGCTCTAAAATTAACTAAGTATTTAGTTAAAATTCATTCCCAAATGCCACTACCCAAAGCTGTACCTAAGCTCAAAACTATGAAAACTCAAGTAACTCATCAAGTATTCACCACACAATTACATGCTAGGCTAATACAAAACATTCTCCAAGTGAAATCACATATTACCATGTAAAAACACCAAGAGGCCAAAATTTCAATAGCATTAAGAGCTTGAAATTCAAATAAACAATCTTGTTTCAACATTACGAATTCTAAACAACTATAAAACTAAAGTCAAATTGAACCATAATCAACAGTAGTCATAATATTCTAATGAAATTGAAACAAGATGAAGAAATGGTTGAGCTTAGCCAAGTGAAGACCTCATGAATCCTCTTCCATCAACTCTCCCCTAGGATTCTATGAAGAATCTAGCTAGAAAACATCAAGAAAATCTTGCTTCCTCCATGAACATCATGTGGCCGAGAAGTATGCTCTATATTGTTGATGAATTGAGCTTCAATTCTTCTTCTAGATTCTTGGGGTGAGTTTGGCCATGATAGGGGAAGAGATGGTGGAAGATTTGAGTGGATTGGATGGGAAAATGGTGGAAGAATAGGGGCTGGACGTGCTAGAGTGTAGAGAGAAGAAGGAGAAAATGAAGAACACCAAGAACAAGAGAGAGAAAATGTGAAAGATGAGTGAATGGGTGAATGAATCTAATTTTAGGGTATGGGACGTGCTATAAGTGTTCCCCCATTAGCTAAAGCTCAATTAAAAAAATAAGAAAAGAAAATAAATAGAAAATGGGAGCCTTGTTATACTTGTAAGGTGGCATCCTCCTATTGGCTTGTAGATGATTTCAAGGTGTGTGCAATTAATCCCATGTGTCATCCACAATTTTAGCTGATCTAAACCACCAAATAGGAGTCCTTACATGTCCAAACCATCAGCCTTTGACCCCATGGACTTTTGACTCCATATGCCCAATTGATGCACAAGTCACATGCCACCCATATCACATAAATTACATAATTCAATTAAATAACATGTGACATTATAAAATGTAATTAAAGTCTAGAATTGAATTCATAATTAGAAGGGAGAATTAATTAAAATAACCAAGTTATAGGCTTCACAAAATTATATAAAAATTTTCACACAAAAGTAAACTGAAAACTAGGTGAAGTTATGACACTCAAGAAAGTGTTGACTTTTTATTTAATTACTCCCAAACTAAAATAAATTTTAAAAATCTAATTTCACCACTCATCGACTAAATATAAAATGCACTTTGTTAATTTTTCTTGTACATTTTCTCAAAATTTCATTTTTTGGACCAAAATGCCCTTACTAAACTTAGGAACTTAGGCAAAATTCCAAATCTAATGCAATGTGTGCACTTTGAGGTGATAAATTATTAATAAAGAGGTCCTAATTGACAAATAAAATTGGGTAACAAATGTGTTCTATCAGGAGGTTGGAGGAAGATTTGGCCCCTAATATTTAGAATATTGTAGTAATTTAGATAAGGCATGTCTTTAGTAACAACAGGAATCATGCTATAAGAGTATATCTTCTCTTGTACGGTGATTTTGTAATAATCTTCCACATAACTACACACATTACCATGTATTAGCTTGTGGTAGAGCAAGCGTGTGGATAAGGAATCTTTGACATTTGCCATGTTGCACAGTTACATTCCCATAAGCCAAGATCAACACGCAAGTCCCTATATGCAATATGTATGCAAACCCTATTTCCTCCATAATGCTCTGCAAACATTTATCTAGCTCTAGCCACATGGTCTCTTAGTTTTACCTCAATCTTTAGACCAACACCATTTCTCTAAGTAGAGAGAGCCATTTTGGATGTATGCATTTTGCGAGCTACCTTTTCTCTAAGCTCATAGATCAATTGTGCAACACCATGCCTTCTCTCAGTGATCATCCATGAATTAAATGATTCTGCAAGATTTTTAGTTATATTGTCCCATCTTCTATATGAAAACTTAAATAAAGACTACTTATTAATGCCTCCGTGATTTTCAAGCCATTGAGCCAATTCTAGACTGAATTCTCATGTTTCCCATTGCTTCATTAAAGCCATCCTTAAGCCTTATATATACGATGCTATCAAGCAAGTTTAATGCGTCATCCTTGCCCTGCCTACTGGTCCTTCTCTTACATCTATTAATTTTCAAAAATTCTGCACTAAAATTCTCCTTAATGTGATAATAACAAAATGCATGTGGCTTGCCTCCAAAGATAGCTTGAACAACACCTATTATGGCATTGTATCAGTCTGAAACTATTGTGAGTTGCATTGAGCTTATTATTTCTTTCACTATGTATAGGAACCAAGTCCAATCTTCAAGTGTCTCCCTTTTCACAATGGCATAAGCAAAGGGAAACAACTCATTATCAGCATTATAAGTAGATGCTAACAGTAAAGTCCCCTTATAAGGACCACTTAAATGACTACCATCTATGTATAATATGTGTCTTGCACCATGCATGAACCCTTTTTTACAACAGCCATAAGCTATAAAGACACGCTCAAACCTGTTATTGTCAACTACTGTCTACTTAGAAACTATTTTTGGGTCCGTTTCCACTAACCAGTCACAAATCCATAAAATTAACAAATAAGATTGGTCGGGTCTACCATAGATCTTTTTTCAACGCCTTCCCTTTGGCTCTGTATGCTTGTTGGTAAGTTAGATTGATACCATATTCTATTCGCAACTCTCTCCTAATGTCATTAGGACATTTGTGCAATGTCTGCCTTGACATTACTGGGACAACACTCTTACACGCTGTTGTGATAACCAAGGTTAGATAAAATCCCAAGCAAAGATTATCACAACCCAAAGGTTTTAAAAGATAATTAGTTAAAATAATAAGATCCCAAGAAAACCCTTTTTGAAATATTGTTTGAGCTTAAACCATGATTAAAAATCAATTAAGAATAAATACGGAAGTATGGAAATCAAACTACTTCAAAACAGGCTAAAACAAGAAATTTTTCCAAAAATTTGGCCCATCCATCATAGCGTAAGCTGCGCTCACCGTGGCGGATGGCACAGAGGGATGAATCCCTTAAAGGCCACTTACACCACAATGTAACTATCATGAATTAGGAATAACTAGTACTGGATCAGACATCAATTTCCTCTTTAACTCTTGAAATGTTGATTCACATTTATCGGTCCACACATATGGCTGATCCTTTTGAGTTAACTTAGTCAATAGAGACACAATCTGTGAGAATCCTTAAATGAATCACCGACAGTAGCCTACTAATCCCAAGAAACTTCTAATTTCTATCACTAATGTAGGCGGTTCCCATTCCAAAACAGCATCCACCTTGTGTGGATTAACAGTAGTCCCTTTTGTCGATACCACGTGACCAAGAAATCTCACTTCCTTAAGATAAAATTCACATTTACTGAGCTTGGCATACAACTTATTGTCCTTTAAAATTTACAAGATAGTATGAAGATGCTTCGAATGTTCCTCCTCATCTCTTGAGTAAATCAAAATATCATCGACAAACACCACCACTAACTTATCTAAATAAGGACAGAATATTCTATTTATATAGTCCATAAATACTACTGAAGCATTCATCAATCCAAATGGCATCACTAGAAACTCATAGTGACCATATCTAGTGTGAAAGGTAGTCTTTAGTACATCTTCAATCCTGACTAGCAGGTTGATCTTAGAAAACACTGCAGCTTCAACCAACTAATCTACTAAGTCATCAATCCTGGGCAAAGGATATTTGTTCTTGGTTGTTACCTTGTTCAACTGTATGTAGCCAATGCAAAGTCTCATACTACCATTATTTTTCTTCACAGATAACACCGGTGATCCCTAAGGAGACACACTCGGTCTTATGACACCTTTTTCTAGAAATTCCTCCAGTTGTTTCTTTAGCTCTGCCAACTCAGATGGAGACATCCGATATGGAGCTTTCAATATGGGTTTTGTTCTAGGCACAAGATCAATAGAAAATTCCACCTCTTGTTCAAGCAATAATCTAGACACTTCTTCTAGGAATACTTCAGGAAACTCATTCACTACTCTGATTCTCTCAATTCCTTCATCATAAGCAGCATGAATGGAAAAGAATACCATATATGCCTGACAACCCTGTTGAATGCACTTTTCTGCTTGCATTACAAACAAGAGTCTTGACTGACTTGGTTTCATTATAGGTACAGTGTACAATGGCAAGGATATTATCTTTCTTGCACAATCTAGCGTCGCATTGTTTGTCGACAACCAATCCATGCCAACCATACATCAATCCCAATCATGGGTAGACAAATCAAATCAATGGTGGTTGATCTATTCTCAAATCTCAAATCAACACCCAAACAAGCGCGATCGGTTCTTACAGAAATTCCTGCCAATGTAGACACATTTATCATATATGGCAAGGTATGCATAGACAATTTCAGCCTCAACACACAATCATCAAAAATGCAAGAATGGGTAGCACTCAAATTAAACAAAGCATCTATATCACAATTATGCAGAGAGATTTTACCTCTAATCAAATTTGGAGATGAATTTGCCTCCTCCTGGGATAACGTGAATAGCCTCCTAAAAACTGTCAATCTCTGCTTTGTGGTACCCACTCTGCCTTATTCACAATATTTGGCTCTGTGCCTTGTCTTGCCATATTTAAAACAAGCCTAACACTTTTAAAACATTCTCACTCCACTATACATAATTAACCAATATAACACCTAGTAATCAGAGACTTAACTCAACAAGATGATTACTATGGTTCAGTTCAAAAGCAAGGGTTCCCAAATTTTCTAAAGAAAAAAGAGTTTGAATCGATAAAAATCTTTCATATCAGAGTAAAATAAGTTACGAAAGTATAGGATATCTCAGAGGAGTAAAAGAAGTTAAAAACGGTTGAAAAACAAAACATGTGCTATGATATAGGGCAATCCGTTGCGGCTCATGCACGCTGCGCTGCGGCGTGTTGCTCTCTCTGCCACATGCTACGACTCAAGCTACGCCACCATGTGTTGCATGAAATTTCTACTAATTCTACTATCATTTGATAGCAGAATCGGGGAAACTTTTAACTCACCCTGAATCTCCGTCCGACATCTGAATGACGTGATCTAGGTGTCTACAGAAAGCTCTTTACATAAACAAGCTAAGGGTATAGGTTTCACTTCCAAAAAAAGTCATACTAGGAAGTTGGACACCCAAACACATTTCAACCACTTTTCACTACTTTAACACCAAATGGGTGTCTAAAACCCTCAACATGTGCCAAAAGCTTTTCCTAACACTGGACCATGTCCAATGGACAAAGGACTACCACTACAACAAGTCACAAGAAATGAAACATTAGTACAATAAAAATTCACTCCTTAACCCCATTTTACCGAAAACAGAGGGGAAGGTAATTTGTCATTGCATCTCGCCCAAATCATTCAAAAAATGATCAAATCACACTTGTACCAGTATTTTGGCCTTATAAACACACACACACATACACACACACACACACACACATATATCAACATATATAGAGACTAAGGGCTTAAAATACAAAACTAACATTTCCAACATCAAAGTAGTGCAAGTATGATGGCATGCATCCTAAAATTAGCAAATCATATACTATTACCCAATTAAATCTAAACTAGAGGCATACAGCAGGAATATGTTAATTCCCCGCCTCTTTAGCCTTCTCCCTCTGAACACTAGAGCTAGAGCCTGAAAAATGTTGAATGAAAAGGGTAAGTCTAGCCACTCAGTAACTAAGGCTCAACCTACCTTATTTAGTTATATATCAATTATAAACCAAATACATGCATAAGGAAATCAAGTATGTAAACATGCTGGCATATATCATATCTTGTCATTTATCATTAAGGAAATCAAGTATGCTCAAATATGTGACATGACCTATTATTCATGCGACTTGCCGCCACTTAACACGTGTGACATGTCATATATTTTCTTAGGCAATGATCAACCAACCTTATATCCTCCTTACTTCCTCAGACCAAAACTGTGGGCTATAACACTGAATAGGGCTCCGTCCGTGTGACTGGACTATCCAAGCTCATCAATCGTGAGGTGTGACCCGGCCAAAGATCACAAGACCCACTCTCGAACCACGACTTCTCCCATTCTCGAATCCCTGGGGTGTCTCATACCCTAGGCTATTCTCCTCATTAAACTGGTGGAGATAGTTAGGTTCTAGTCCCTCGAAAAACTATGGGACAATCCCTCGACAAACTGTGGGACAAGGCTATACCCCCGTCCATTAGAGGGCAGTCTAAATACCATATAAATTTTTCTCTACTCCAAATCCTGAGACAAATTCCCGCCACTGATCATACCATAATCAATACTCACTTATTTTAACATTTTTACTCATCATCACAAAAATCACATTGGGCTCATAACCATGCACTACCCAAGTGTGTACTCTCATCATCTTCTCAACATTATTCTCACTTACCTTAAAATTTACTTCTCATGAACATATAATTACTTCTGCACAACATCACATTTTTCATTTTCAAACCAAAAATAACATTACGCACATACAAATTTTCATACTCTCATTAAAGCTAATATATGGTTTTACATTAAAAATCAATCCCATGCATGTAACATTCACAATTCACAATTAACAATCAATTAACATATAACATCCTAAAGTAGGGTTCCCCTGATTACCTCAAACCTTTGAGAGGTCAAAGATTTACCCCTCAATCAACTTGCTTCCAAGCTTGAATTTCCAATCCAATAGGTGACCCAAGAGCCAATAATACAATCAACCAAGTTGAATTTTATCAACATAACCAACTTAAGCATTTGAACCCTCAATCTCTACTTCTAAATTGCCCAACATTCACTCTACATGAGTTGAAGCCTATCCATTGGGTTTAATAATTACCTTTAGCCCCCCAATAGCATTAATGAGCCATTAAATCCTCATTAATGGCATCATAAACTTCTAACCACTATAATAAATGAGATTTTTGAATATTAATGGTGCCTAACAACCCAAGATATCAAAACTCATTATACCTAGGTTTAAATACTCTAATCTACTCTCATTAACTCTATTTGAGTCAATAAATTTGGACCAATACCCCATATAGACTAAAATTACCATCCTCATCTAAACCCTAACTCAAATCCTTGAGAAAATAGAAGGGGAAAGGAGGAAAAGGCTTAGAAATCTTACCTTGGATGATTTAGAGCTTCAAACCTCCTCAAATTCTCATCTAAGTCATGCCTTAGTAGAGCATTAGCGCGTCTCTCCATTTTCCTCTTTTCTTTCTCTCTATTTCTGTTTCATTTCACATCTAATAAATTGCAGAAAATGGCCATGCATAGCAGCACATGGCACATAGAGGTCCTCCCTTGCTTAGAAATGTTTGTGTGCCGTGGCAGAGGATTTCCATATCACGGCGTGTGGCATAGCAACATCAACTCTTCCTTTTCTTCTCCTTTTGATGCTCGGGTGGCCTTCCTTGATACCGGACCCACAACTAGGGCTAAAATATCATCAAATATGATTATTAGACCTCTCTGGCCACACACACCACTTCAACTTACTTAATTACCCTAATTAGGTTTAATTAATCAGGGGATTAAAAATCAAAATGTTACAACTCTCCTCTCCTTTTAGGAATTTTGTCTCTAAAATTCACTTAATTTAGCAAACCTAGTAAAACCTTACCTCATTGAAACAAGTGATGATATTGGTTTTTCATCTTCTCTTCGATTTCCCACATAGTATCACTAGAAGTCATCCCTTTCCATGTGACTTTCACAAGCTAAATTTTCTTGTTTCTCAGTTGTTTCTTCCTAACATCCACAATTTTCTCCGGCTCTGCCTGATATGTTAAATTCTCATGTTGTGAAGGGTTAGGTTGATATTTCTTCAATTAAGACATGTGGAATACATCATGCACACCTGATAGATGAGGAGGTAGGGCAATCCGGTATGCCAAAGGCCTAATTCTCTTAAGAATTTTGAATGGCCTAATAAATTTGGGAGTCAATTTCTTTGCACAAATAGACCTCACAATTCTAGTCATAGGTGTGACCTTTAGAAATATGTGATCTCCAACCATAAACTCTAACTATCTCCTCCTCTTATCTGCATAGCTCTTTTATCGACTCTGAGCAGTCAGCAACTTCTAATGAATAATCTTAATTTTTTTAGTGGTTTGATCCACCAAATTAGGACCTATTATGCTTCTCTCACTCAACTCGGTCTAACAGAGTGGACACTTCCTGTCCTACAAGGCTTCATATAGAGCCATTTGAATGCTCACATGAAAACTATTACTATAAGAGAATTTTGCCAAAGGTAAGTGCTTATCCCAACTGCCACTCCACTCGATAGCACAAGCATGTAGTATATCCTTTAGAGTTTGGATGGTCCTCTCGGTTTGACCATCAATCTGAGGGTGATATGCTATACTGAACTTCAATTTTGTACCCATAGGCTCGTGCAGTTCTTTCTAAAAGTTTGAGGTGAACCTTGGATCACGATCTGACATAATTTCTTTTGGCACTCCATGTAACATCACAATCTCTTGAATATAGACCTCTGTAAGCTTTTCTAGAGCATAGTTAGCTCTAATTGCTAAGAAATGAGCAGACTTGGTCAATCTATCCACAATTACCCAAATAGCATCATGATTCGCTTGGGTACATGGCAATCCCATACTGAAATCCATAAAAACACAATCCTATTTCCATATAAGAATCTCTAATAGTTGTAGCAATCTTGGGGGTCTTTGGTGTTTAATCTTCACCTTCTAACAAGTCAGATATCGAGATACGTACTTCATCATATCCCTCTTCATACTAGGCCACCACCATCGACTCTTCATGTCTTAATACATCTTGGTAGTTCCTAGATGAATGGTGAACTTACTCTGATGAGCTTCAGCTAGAATAGTCTCTTGAACCCTTTTATCATTAGGTACACATACCCAATCTTTATACACTACCAACCCATCATCATTGAACCAAAAGTCCTTAATCTTGTTTGCCTCAATATCATCTCTAATCTCTAATAGATACTTGTCTTCAAGCTAATCTCTTCTCAAGTCTTTCTAGAATTCATTGGTGATTACCGTTGTATTTAATTTGTACATGGCAAAATCTGGACTATTCTGGTGTTCACTAAAGAAATCCTTTATTAGCTTATACTCATGGATCATCAACCTCGCAATATGTATGGTCTTGCAACTCAAAGCATCGGCCACTACATTGGCCTTCCC